TGCTTTCAGATCTGCTAAAAGGCCAATTCATACCCCAGCGTAAATGACTTCAGGGCTTAATGTGTCTCCTGTTCAAAATTACTGTCTTAACTTGAAGTGCTCTGATTTCAGGAATCCAGGAGGGCTGGAAGTGGATGTTACACAAGGTCTGCCCATCTAAGTGCAGCAGATCTTGGCTAGGCTTATTTGTCATGTCTCCCAGAATAAGGGGTCAAGAGCAGGAGGGTCAGACCCACGGAGCTTTACACTGAGAGTCCTGGAGATGCATTGAAAGGAGAGAGGAAACACATACCACTGGGCATTGGCTAACAGTGATGAGCTTTAAAAAAAAAAAAAAAGTCAGAATCCTGGCTAGCCCAGACTGCTGCTTGAAGGGTGCGGAGCTCTCAGCTGCCATGTGACTCGACCTCAAAGGAGAGCTGTGGTTTCAGGGTCAGAGTGGCAGCAGCCAATGATTTAGAAAGCAGAGCTCAGCGTGGGACCTGTGCCTGGAGTCTGTAAAGGGCACCATTGTTTGAAGTTACAGGCAATCAAAGAAAAAGAAAAGGGCAGGGGGAAGAAAGAGAAACAAAACCAAACCGCTTAAAATTTTTGGGACATTATCTCTTGCCAAACTTTTTCTGTAAAGAAACGAGCCGACCTGAAGCCCATGAAACAAACAGAAAGAGATGGCTGGGCTGCTCAGAGTGCAGATGGAGGCCTCTTAGGTTTCAGCTTCAGCCGATCTTTGCATAAATGAGGTGACTTCCAGGTGGGGGTGGCCTGCTCCGTAAGAGCCACACCCTGACCGAGATTTGGGCCTTTCAGGGTCCACATTCTTCCAGCCTGGAAGTGCTCTGTCTCTTAGCCCCTTCACTCGGGACCTTGCTGGGTAACTTACTATTTTTTTTTTTTTTTTTGATGTGGACCAATTTTAAAGTACTTGTTGAGTTTGTTACAATATTGCCGCTGTCTTATGTTTTGTTTTTTTTGGCTATAAGGCATATGAGATCTTAGCTCCCTAACCAGGGATCGAACCTGCATTGGAAGGCGAAGTGTTAACTACTGGACCACCAGGGAAATAAATCTCAATGGGTAACTTATTTTGTGCTGTCATGTAGGTCTCATGATTCTTGTCAGGGTGTCATGAATTATTAGATCCACATTGTGGAAAGGGTAACACCGAGTTTCAGAAAGGAGTCCTTGCTTGCTCAAGGTCAGGGGGTAAGGAATTAGCAGAGGCAAGTGCAGAACACAGGCCTCTGTTTTGCCATCCTTTCAGCAAAGTGCAGAGGGGAAGGGGAGAGGCAGGCATGCCTGACCTCGGGTAGGGCAGGGAACTTCAGAAATAATATCACCCGGAGTTCGTTGAATGTGTCAGTGATATCAGGCTCAGGCTCTGTAACAGAAGAGCAAGAACTCAAATCCCAGATACCTGTCCTTCTAGCAGTGTGACCTTGGACAAGTTACTAAACACCTCTGAGCCTCTGCTTCCTCATCTGTAAGATGGGACAATAATAGGACCTGCCTTATGAGGCTGTGGAGGGGACTGAATAAACCAAAGCAGGCGAAATGTTTAGAGCTACTCCAAGACACCACGAGTGTTAGGTTTATTATAATATCCTGTAACAGAAGCGCTTTTGTTTTGGGTTTTATGATGAGAGGGAATTCTCTATTTTTATTCCTATCTTACAGATTATAAAATGAGGCACAGAGAAGTTATTTATAAAGAAGCAGAGCTGGGGTTGCTTTTGATGCTAAACCTACATTGCTCCTGGCTTGCCCTGTTGGTTCTCTGAACTGAAGTTCTTGAGCTTTCCTGCCTTCACAGATCCCGGGGATCTTGTCAGGAGCCACACCAGGACAAACGCTGAGCGGAATCACAGCCAGGGCACCACCGTCCCTGGACTTTCTGCCCAATTCCTATGTTAGAGGAAGCCTCTGACCTCTCCTCCCAGGGACTTTGTTCTTCTCCACTAGGCTGTTCTCCTGCACCCATGGATGTGAACGGGTTCCCAGTGCAAGTGAATATCAACCACCCTGTCAGCAGTCAGGAGGCTATTGCAGTGGACCAGGCAAGGGCCAACAATACCTTGAACCAGGGTGTAGATGGTGGTTATGGAGATGGATGGGTTTGAGGAACTTTGCTTTTAGGAGGTGAAAATAGACTGCTCCAGGCACTGTGATTGGTACTGGAGATACAAATATTAAGCCAGTCTTTAAAGGTCTTACTGTCCAAAAATAGGGAGATGTATGTGTAACAAACACAAACACACGAGTGCAGCTGGCTCCCGTGGAATGACTGCAGACATGGCCACAGTTCTTTGGCCTGTGCTTCACACTTTTTGAGATGTGACTTCTTAGCTACTCCTAGCAAGAGACTGAGGTTAATTCTCTACCCCTTGGATCTGGGCAGGTCTTGTGAGGTGCTTTGTCAATAGGATGTGATGGAGGTGATGATGTACCAGTTTTGAGCCTAGGTCTCAGCTGGCCTTGGGTGCTTCCAACCATCTCTAGGAAGCTTGCTGACTCTCTAGGAGAAGAAACGCGGGTTAGCTTCCTTGATGAGAGACACACAACCCAGTTCTCTCTTGTCACCTTCACTCTTAGCAGGTCAACTACCAAGTATGCAAATATACATCTTAGACCAGCTAACGTTTAGGCATCTGGCTAGCTGACCACAGCTGCACAAGTGAGCTCACCCAGATCAGCAGAGCCTGACCCAGATGAACAGATTGGTTCAGCCAACTCATAGATTCACGAGCAATAATAAATGCCTACTATTCAAAACAATGATTGGCAAAATACCACCTGTGGGCCAGTCAGCTGTCTGTTTTTGTAAACAAAACTTTATTAGAATATAGTCATTCCCATTTATTTATTTTTTAGTTTTTTCTTTCTTTTTTGTTTTTTTGGTGCTACAAAATCAAACTAAATAATTGCAACAGAGACTGTGTGATCTATGAAGCCTAAAATATTTGCTATCTGTCCCTTTAAAAAACTGTTTTCTGACTACTTGTTTGAAAAGCTTGCAAGTGCTTTCTTACACAGCGATAACTAACTGATACATAGGTGCTGAAACAAAGGTGCTGGTGGGAACACAAAGGAAGAATTGTTAGTTCTCCACTATGACTTGGAGTGGTTGGGAGAGGCTCCGTAAAAGAAGTGATGATACATGTGTCCTGAGTCAAGTGTAACCTTGGACTTAGAGGGAAATGATGAGGAAATCAAAGGTCAGAACGATTGTGACCAGGCCAGTCACGTGACAGGTCTCCTGGTTCCTGTTCAGGGACTTTTCCTGACTTGTTCAAGCTAGCAGTTTAAAATTTTGGGTAAGAGGAATCACCATGGGACCAGACAGAACTTGTCTAGCTTTCCCATTTCTGAGATCTGTGATTTCAGGTACTTCTCTGTACCTTAGTTTCCTCATCCATAAAATGGGGAAAACGAGACTAGTCTCGTAGAGCTGTTGTGAAATTAAATAAGATGGTGGGCACAAGAGTATCATTTTATGATTAAAAAGAAAGCTGCAGAAATAATGACAGCTTAGAAGTCTTTGTCACGAGGCTTTCCATTTTAACCGGGGTGAGAGATTTCAGCTAAAGGCGAGTTGCTCTAGGGCTGGAATTTCTGGGAGAGGGGTGGTTGGTTTGGGACACATGAAACCTATACCACTTGGGACCAGCTGAGGACTCCTACCACCAACAGCTTCTTGAGGCCCCCATGCTGGGGGCTCTCTCTCTGTTTCACAACCCACCACAAATGGAAGAGCCTGTGGGCTCAGGAGATTCAGTCACTTTTTATTTACCTTAAAGTTCCTGTTTGGGCTTCCCAGGTGGTGCGAGTGCTAAAGAACCTGCCTGCCAGTGCAGGAGATGTAAGAGACACAGGTTCGATTCCTGGGTTGGAAAGATTTCCCTGGAGGAGGGCTTGGCATCCCACTCCAGTATTCTTGCCTGGAGAATCTCATGGACAGAGGAGCCTGGCAGGCTACTTACAGTCCATAGGGTCATGCAAAGTCAGACACTGATGCATGCGAGTTTCTGTTTCTCTGGGCAGGGGCTGAGCCAATTCACACACCCATTTAGAGGATGAGGGCAAACAAAGGGTTTAGATCTAAATTCCAGAGATCGCTCCTTTCAGCAATCCGCTGTATGTCAGGCCCTGTGCTGGGCCCTGGGAAGCAGGCAGAGCCAGAGAGGGTCTTCCCAGAACTGAGTCCACTGTGGGAGGTGGACCGGAGAGCAGATGTTTCCAGCATGAGGTGCTGAATGTTGAGGCAGAGGGAAGCCCGGGGCTCCCAGGGGAGCATAGCTTAGCCTGAGGCTCAGGTAGTGATGCTCAGTGTCGACCTGAGCTGGGTCTTTCAGCAAAAGTAGAAGCTTGCTAGGGAGACACTGAGGGAGAAAGGCATCCCAGACAGAAGACAGAGCATGGGCAAGCATAGAGCGACGGAACAGCACGGTCTGAACAGGGCATGGCGCAAGGGTTGCCTGACGTGGAGTTTGAGTAACGTGAGATAAGATGAGGTGAGCAGAGTAAACAGAAAGTACAACTCATAGTCATTGAGAAGATGAGGCGTGGAGGGACCTGGATGATGCAGGGAGTATGCATGTTAAGGGATCTCACAGACCCTGTCCATGGGCCACCAGAATGGGTGATGGTCTCCCTATTCTTGGCCCCCAGGAAGGGGAGGGAGTAAGGAGGTTTCCAGCATCACCTTGGGTCCATTCAGCCTCGAAGCCCACCACAGTTTCACCATCGGGTTGCATGCTATTTCTTACTAAACCTAAGAGGAGATTTTATCACATTGCTTCATAACGTATGGGAGACGTGGAGGGGACTGATAAACGTGCTGAGTGTGTGAGTTGGGGATAGAGGAGAGGAATAGGAGGTGGGGACATCCCATCCTGTGCCATGTGGTTCCCAGAGGTGACGGTCCAGGTCTAGGGACAAGGCCAGTCTTCAGTGCTCAGAGGAGATGTCTGGTAAGCATTTGGAAATCCTTTCTGTTCTTCCAGATGAATGAAGAAGTGAATCCAAACCTGGAAGTGGCAATTAAAAAAAAAAGTCCCTTCATCACTCTGGGAGCTGAGACGTCCAAGTGTCACAAAAGAGAATTTCTCAATGAGGAACTGGTCAGCGAGGGAGAAAAATACCCTTTAAAAATACTTCCTGCTAGAAGTCAAATGGTAGGCAAACAAGAGTTGCACCATCAACGCAGTGTTCTTCTGGGGTCATTTTTTGAGTTTTGAGTAGGCTGATTTCTATAAATTGAGCATTCTGCTCCCCTATCACCAATTCCCACCAAATGCTAGCCACAGGAGTTGGAACTTCTAGCTAATCAGCTTGGGCCGGCATTGATGGGGGTAACTGATGATTCATCTATAGGCAGTGAGGAGGGAGGCAAGTGCTTCCCTCGTTATTTTAGTGACCCAGGACATTGGAGGTCCTGTGCTCCATTCCTCTGGCTCCATTCCTCCAGGCTTGTGGGGACCACTTCAAATCAGCCAAGAACAGTTCCACTTTGCATCTGGTAACCTGAGTTGGAGAAGCCTGTTGTGCAGACCTGGGCTGCAGGAGAAGTTCCTTGGGCCACTATAACCTCCCATCACTCCAGCGGGCCCTCTTCTAGGCTCTGGGATGGAGAACTTGGTGGCTGAAGGCATGGCCCGTTGAGTTAGGCTCATTCGGGGTGGAGCCATGGCTCTGCACTTCACTAGTTGAGTCACCTTAGGAAAATTATGAACCTTTTTAAGCCTCCGTTTCCATATCTGAAAAAAAATAGGGACACCCAAACTTACCTCATAGGGAGAAAATGATGCCATGGGCTTAAGACATGCATGGCACATAGTAAGAGGTCAGTAGGAGTGTGTGTGTGTGTGTGTGTGTGTGTGTGAGTGTGTGTGTGTGTGTGTGAAGGGCAGTGGGAATTGGGACTGCAGGATGCCTGGTAAGTGTTTATTCATGGCTAGTCTGTGCTGGACTCTGCACTAAGCAGTGGAAAAATTCTGAATGTTTATTCAACAGTCACCTTTGCCGGTTCTTCTCTGCGGGTCACCATATCCATTCTCTGCCCTGCTCTGTTCCCTGGAGGCCAACTCTGCCAACAATGCCCCCCAGTTCCCTCCCCACCTGTCTTCCAGAGGCCCTGGCAGGAGACCAGAGGGAAAAAGGAGAGAGAGGTTTGCGTCTTTCGTGACAGCTGTGCTTCTTCTCCACCATGGAGGTTCCCATCATGTTCTTTGAAGCCTTCTGGACAACCATCCCCACCTCTGCTAGTTCGGGGGTGTCGTGGCTTCACACTGCTGCTGGCCCAGGAGCCTCAGTTCCAGCCCCAATCTGTAAAAGGTCCCTCCATCAAATGTTCTCCATTTGCACCATCTGGGGTAAATTCTGTTTTCTGCTGGGACCCTGATGGGTACACCTACTGGTTTTTTTTTCTTCCTATTATTATCAATGCTCTATTAGGCTGGAGTTTCCTTTTCTTAAGATGAACTCTCAGCCCCCATCATTATTTTATCCCTTGGGCATAAAAGAGGCAGCGAATCAGCAGGCTGGCGACTCACTGAGGTTTGCTCCACCTCAGCAGACTCTAGGTTTGGCTTTTAGTCCTCCTTCCCCGCTCTGGGGTGGGGCTCAGCTCTGGGTGGTTTCAGGGTGCTCTCCACTTTGGGGAGGAGAAGGGGGAAGATCAGAAACTGAACACAGCTGTGCCCTGCCAGGGGCGCCCGCTGATGACTGACAGCAGCCCGCAGTTCCTTCTTCAGAACCGCCCTTGCCTCCCTCCCCTCCCCACATTACTCAGCCCACTGCTTTCTGCATTCTCTCTCCCTCTGCCCACGACACCCAAAGGAGCCTTACAGTTCATCCTCTTATACAATAGATCTGCACAGAGCACCTGCTCTGCCCCTGGTCCTGGTCAGAGCGATGAGGACACAGCATGAATGAGAGAAGGCCTGCCCACAGGGAGCTTATATTCTAGTGGGAGAGACAGACAGTAAGCAAGGAGATGGGGGGTGGTGTTTAGATGTAAAGTGGGATAAGGAGGTTAGGAAGATGATGGAATGGGCTATGGGAGCTATTTTTATAAAGAGTGGTCATGGAGGGTGTCACCAAGAAGGAGGGGGAGATGGGCCAGACCAGGAAGAGTGCCCTAGGCAGAGAGGACAATAGGGATGAATGTGTGGAGGAGGGAACGTGCAGCGCGGGGGGGGGGGGGGGGGGGGGGGCGGGGGGCATGCAGGGAATGGGCGGGGAGGAGGGGGTGAGGTCTGGGAGGCAGCAGGATGCATCCTGTAAGGCCTCGGAGGCCACTGGGGGTGGCTTTGGATTCTTCGCTGAGGGAAATGGGAAGCCTGGGGAGGAACAGGGAAGGGATGGAGAGTGAAGGATGCCTCTGGCTGTGTGCTTTTTTTAAGTTGGAGAATAATCGCTTAACAGTGTTACTTTCTGCGGTACAACAACGTGAGTCAGCCGTTAAGTATATATACATAAGTCTTCCCTCTTGAGCCTCTCCCCTCCATCCCCTCTTCTGGCTGTTCAGTGGAGAACACAGGAGGCAGAGAGGAGGAACATAGGAACCAGAAAGGGACCGTCACAAAGACAATAAAGCCCACCCCCACGGCCACCCCCCACTGTATCCACTGGAACCCAGTTCGTTTCTGTAATCTGCCCAAGGTCCTTTCGAGGTACCGATTGCTATTGTTCTCACAGTCAACAGCATCCTTATCACCCCGCCTGCTGGGTAAATGTATGGGAATTATTTTTTCCATCTGAGATTCAGGTTCCCCACCCCTAAAATGGAGATAATAAAATCTACCTTTCAGGATTGCTATGAGGATTTATATCGCTGGCATATATTATCCTCACAGAAAATGGTGTGATGACTGTTCTTCCCCAAACCTGTAACTGAGGCTGTAACCTGTCTTCATCCTCTGTGACTCTGGAGGTCGTCTGACTTGGAGCTTGGTACCTCGTGGGAGCACAGGGACACTGTTATCATTTGAACGATAAGATGTCAAGCCTTTCTCCTCTGAAACCAGCCTGTGATGGACAAGTGTCCATCAGAAAATAAATGGCAAACCCTGGAGATGTTTGGAGAAGCCAGGATTGGTGGATTGGGCTGGTCAGAGAAGCTCCCTCAGAGAACGTGGGACTGGACACATGAATTGGAGGGACATCACGAGAGAGTCATTTTGTGGCTCTAAGAAATTAAAGTCTGTTAAATCCAAGTGTTAGGCTTACCATCCCATGCCTGTGGGGCACCTGACTCTAGGTCAGAGGCTCAGTGTCAGGAAATACTGCCTGGATCCTTTCCGAGCGCTTACCTGCTTGTATTAACTTCTCTGAGTACTATTAAAGACAGGGATGATGATGCTTACCACGTGAGCTGGATAGATGGAGAAAATTAAGTGAGCTGCTGGTTGTAAACATTCTTCAAAGTCTTCCTGGGAGTGAAGCAAACTGAATCATAGTTATTCTTTTTATTGCCCACAGGCAAGCACATTGTGCTGCTGTCATGAAATGGCCCAACAGAACACCATCTGACTTTGGAATAGTTTTCCCAAATGATTTCCCAACAGCCGTCCTCTGCTCTCCTAGAACACATGCCATCCTCACGTCCCTAAAGACTCACTTCCTCCCCTGGAGCCTGCTCACTCAGGGAAAGCATACCGGTTTTTTCTGTCATGGAAGGAAGATTGCTTCTTCCCCTTACCTCTCACTTGCCATGTGACCTAGGGGAAACGACTTTCCCTTTCTGGGCCCTGTTTCCTTGTCAGAAAAAATAAAGATATTGTGCTAGATGGTCTCTCAGGTACCCCTTAATTCTGAATCTCTAAGCCTATGTATCTTTAAGAAAAAAAACCTAAATAAAATTTGACAACATCACTTTAAGATGAGAATCATGAAGACTACCTTTACCGGATATAAGTCACTGTTCGGTGACTACTCGTTTTATTGCTCATTTAATTCTCACAAGCATTCTAAAATGTCTGCGTTGTTCTGATTCTCAGGCACAGAGAGGTTGGGTTTCTTGCCTCAGGTCACACAGCATGCATGTGGTGGGACTGAGTTTATCCTCAGCCACTGTCCACCACAGGCCACACTAGTAACCCAGAGCCTTGGATCACTTCCATTCTCTACTCTATTGTTTGAAAGTCAACATGAAACACCGCCAAGAGCCAGTTGTATCTTTCTCACACTCCATCTAGCCTGGAATTCTATTCTGTTAGTATTATCAAGTTAATTACACTCTATTGTTTCCCAGAAATTTGGGGCTGGGCTGGAAGAATATTCTGTGATGTTTAATACCTGGGTCTTAACATTGTTAGATGACATATGAGTCTTACATTCTAAATAATTGTAATTACGCTTGCGTGCTCAGTCATGTCAGTCATGTCCAACTCTCTGCAACCCTATGAACTGTAGGCCACCAGGCTTCTTTGTCCATGGAATTATCCAGGCAAGAATACTTGAGTCAGTTGCCATAACCTCCTCAAGGGGATCTTCCCAACCCAGGGATTGAATCTGTGCTTCTGGTATCTTCTGCATTGTAGGCATACTCTTTACCAACTGAGCCACCTAGGAAGTCCAGTTATAATCACAGGTGATATTTATTGAGCACTGACTATACTAAAGGAAATAAACTCTGAATATTCATTGGAAAGACTGATGCTAAATAAAGCTGAAACTTCAACACTCTGGACACCTGATGCAAAGAGTCGACTCAATGGAAAAGACCCTGATGCTGGGAAAGTTTGAAGGCAAAAGGAGAAAGGAATGACAGAAGATGAGGTGGTTAGATAGCATCACTGACTCAATGGACATGAGTTTGAGCAAGCTCCAGGAGTTAGTGGAGGATAGAGGAGCCTGGTGTGCTGCAGTCCATGGCATCGCAGAGAATCAGACTTAACGACTGAACAACAACAATGACTATGTGGAATCAATTCCAATAACTGTACATACTCCATCTGATGAGGTGGGTCCTCTTATTTCATCTTGCAGATGAGGAAGTGAAGCATCAGGCACAGGTGGAGTAGTGAACCTCCATTACAGAGAGGGTGCTAGGCATCCCTGGGATATAAACCCAGGCTGTCTGACCGCAGACATGTCTCTCACCCACTTCATTTTACTGTCTTTCTCAAGATAGCCTCCTCTGGAAAGGAATTCTATGGAACATTTTAAGAAATTCTATCATACAAATTTCCATGGCCAAATAAATTTATAAAAGTAGGGTTAAATAAAATGAAACAAGTTGCTTTACTTTTGAATTCCTCAGAGTCCAAGTGGCAGTCAGTTTCTTTAAAAGCAGGACAGAGCAGGCATGATTGTGAAACTCATTTGATCATGGAGACTTTTTACTTCTGGTGGATCAGCTCAAGACACATATTTTGTGAAAATCAACTTTAAAGGCATTGCAGATAGGAAGATTTGCGGGGAGGAGTCAAGTTCCAGATGCTTACTAGCTCTACCCCATTCTAGTTCTCCCTCAAATATCCCACCATCACTTTACCACCAACTGCATTTATGCTGCAGTGCATCTAGAATGTGTCCAGGAAAAAAAAAAAGCCAAATGTATGTATTGAGTTTCTGAAAGTTAAAGTTCACTTTCAGTGCACATCAGCAATTTTCCACTTATAGAATCTGTTTGTTTTTTTTTTAAATAAATAATTTATTGCAGAGCAGATCCTTGTTCCTAACTGATTTCCACTCTTGGTAAATCTGGATTTTCATGGCATAGGTTCTTAAAGCGAGGTACCTTTGGATTTTCTTGTGCGGAAGGAAAAAGTTGGATGAGCAGGGAAATGAAGCACAGGGCGTGGAAGTCAAAGGAGTAGAAGCTGTGGTTTTCCCCCAAAGTTGCACAAAATAATAATATGACTTCTGCTTTTCATCTGCTCTGTGTGGCAGCTGGGGAATCTAACAGCCTGCTTGCGAGGACAGGGTTGATTAAGTTGGAGGGCAGTCGAACTGTTAAATCTTAGGAAATCTTGGTTGTCCAACCTGCTGGTGTTTCTTACTCATGGCATCTGCTGATGCTCTTCCTCATGCTTAACTCTGGGATGCGAGGGTTTCTCATTTTGTCCATTTCCACATTCAAAGGGTAAATGGTTGCCAACACCTAGGTGGGCTTGCTATGAGCTGGGCATATGGATTTAGTGCCTGTTAACCCATGCATGAATGCCAGACCCTGGAGATATTTCAATTGACTAAACAAGCTCTCTGCTTTGGAAGAAAACTCATTTAATAGACGAATAAGCCAGATACTCAGTTGACTGTAAGTTTTGGCAGAAGGAAAGTGCCAATAGAGTTAGACAAACACAGGGGTGTGAGAGATCATGCCTAAGTGGTACAGTGGGGCATTCTGGAACACGTTCTTGATAGAGGCAGCAATGGACTTGAGCTTTGAAAGGTGAGTAGAGTGTGGCTACATGGAAACAGTGGTGGGGAAGACCTTCTCGGGGGAGAGAGGAGGGAATGGCCTGAGCCCAGAGAACTTCAGAGAGTCCAGAGAGGGCATCATTATTTTACCAACCACAAAGTGCCCTAGATCTATGTTCCTTTGCAGTTTCTATGACAACCAGTGACTGTTATATATTAAACGCTCCCCGCATTGAGGTCAACAGTTGAAAGCTTTCCAGATAAGAGTTTCTGAAGAGCCCAGATAGGTTATTGAATCTCTGGGGACCTTAATGTTTTCATTGGCAGATGAGGAGAAAGTCCTTATCTCATGAGGTTAAGATAAGAATTAAGCGTGAATGATGCAAGAAAAGTTTTAGAACTATTTTATTTAGCACCTAATAAGTGCTCCATAAATATTAATTACTGTTATTGTTGTTACTGTTATTTTTATTGAATGCTTAAAGATTTCAATAAATAGCTTGACTATGAGATCTCTCTGGGTGGGTACACAATTACTTATGTATCTTCACATTTACCAGTTTCTGAGCTGATAGCTTTCAGTAAATGTCTGTCAGACGACTTGAATAGCTGAATGAATAAACATGAGAAAATATCCCTTCTTTCTAGGATGCAGTTGCCTTTCATCCTTGAGGCTCTAGACATTAGACTCCAGCCTAGGTGGGAAGACCCCCTCCCCTACATACATATCCTCCCCCATACTCCCCACTACTGGACAGATCCTTTATCATCCTGTGCATCTTCTCTGAGTTACTCTCGGGTAAAGAAGGACATTTGACCCTGGTTTAGAAAGATTGCCTTACACAATCTCCCAGTTCCCTAGATGGGACTTGCTGAGCTGACAGAATGCAGAGAGAAGAGCTAACTATTTTTAGGATGAACTAGAAAGATTAGAACTTTGTTCTCTCCTTAAATATCAAACCTACAATCTGTAGGACTCCAAACAGAAGTTATTAAGGAATTGGATGTAAGGAATTATGCACTGGGCTTCCCCGGTGGCTCAGCGGTAAAGAATCTGCCTGAAGTGCAGGAGCTGCAGGAGATGCGAGTTTGATCCCTGGGTCAGGAAGATCCCCAGGAGGAGGGCATGGCAACCCACTCCAGTATTCTTGCTTGGAGAATCCTGTGGACAGAGGAGTCTGTCGCGCTACAGTCTATAGGGTCACAAAGAGCAGACATGACTGAAACGACTTAGTAGGCACGCAGTTATTCATTGTGCTCCTGCTGCTTAAAATTCCCACATAAAAATAATAATAGACCATTGATTTTGGAGTGACTACCATGTGCTAGGCACTTGCAAAGTGCTTTACACGCACTGTATTATTTCATTTGTTTAGCAGCCTCATGGGATTGGTTTCAATCTCCCTATTTTGCAGATAGGAAAACTGAGGCATAGAGAGTAAAGTATCTTGACCAAAGCCACAGACAGAGGGGTAGTGAAGCTAGAATTCCATTCCTGATCTGTCTGGCTTCAAGATCCATTCATTCCGTGAGGATACAAATGACAATGACACAAATCAAAACAAACAGGAGAAAACAAATTCCAGCTCCTGGCTGAAGAATAAAACCATGGACTGGTTGACTGCAGCACTTTGCCGGGTACAGCCACAGATGTGCAGAGGACAAAGTCAGGAATTCTGTTTCTGGGGAGATCGCATCCTAATAAGGGCGATGTAAGGACTTCCTTGTTTCTCATCTGCCTCACTTTCTCATTTTCCTTTTGGGCTCTCCCTTTCCCTCAGTGCATGCATGCCACATTGGGTGGCTTGCTCATCGAAGCTCCTGCACTCCTCTAGCCATGGAGTAGGCATTTGCCTCCAACTGGAAAAATCAGGCTATGGGAAAATAAATCAGGACTCAAGAACGTCAAATGGCTAGAACTGATCTGGTTAGTAACACCCTGAAGAAAACTGTATCTTAGTTTCTGACATCTGGCTCTTCAGCTTTTCCTTCTTTCTGAGAGTTTGCTTGTGGCAGATAATATAGACTGGTTCACTCAGCACATATCCGCACTGCACTTTCTCTACTCTAGAAGGTGGAAAGCTGAACGCTGCCTTGCAGTTTGGGATGATCATGTGACTTAGCCAGTAGATGTAAGTGT